AGATTGAATACAGGATAAAATCCAAATCTCGGGGTTGTTACAATAAGGTTATTTCCTTAACAAAAGCCTCATCCACCTCTTCCACCTGGTTAGGTGGCCCTGTAGTAGACTCCTAGCATGACATCTCCCTTGTTTTTTACCCCTTTTAGCCTAACCCAGAGACTCTCAACACTTCCGTCTCCTATGTCCATCTCCACCTCAGTCCAAGTGTGTACATTTTTAATATATAAGGCAACACCTCCTCCCTTTTTCCCCTGGAGTAGGAACCTTCTCCTGTCTCCTCCAGATGAGTCCCTGCTCTTCGCCGGCTCGGACACGCTGTCCAGTGCCGAGGAGTCAGGGAGCAATGAAGAGTCACCTGAGAAAAATCTCCAGGTGCTGTCGGCTACAGACCCCAGGCTGGAGCACAACCTCCTGGCTGCAGCCAGCACCGGTAAGGGCGGGCGTGTGAGTGCACTGTAGATACTGCATGCCCCCTGCATGCCACTGGGCCTGACCTGGCCTCTGGGGCTGGGCCCCCAGCACACCCCCCCTGCAGACAACTGGCCTCCACCGTGCTGGGGCCCCAGCAAAGCTCCCCAGAGACGGCAGGTCCAGGCCTGCATTCTCTGAGTCAGATGGTTATTGCAGGCCGGGGCCTGTCACCTCCGCCGAGCGGAGGTAGGGAGCAGCTGAGGAGGGCTGGGCAGTCAATGGGGGTCAGGCGGTGGGGCTGGGGAGGCGAGTGGGGGCAGGCTGTGGGGGGCTGGGCAGGTGATAGAGTGGGGGCTGGGCAGGCAATGGGGGGCAAGCTGTGGGGAGCTGGGGAGGGGCTGGGGGGCTGGGCAGTCAATGGGGGTCAGGGCAGGCGATGGGGGCTGGGGAGGCAATGGGGGTCAGGCTGTAGGGAGCTGAGCAGGCAATGGCAGTCAGGCTGTGGGGGGCTGGGCAGGCGATGGGGGTCGGGCTGGGCCGGTGGTGGGGCAGTAGCTGGGCCCTGGTGGCGCACCAGGGGGTAACTGAGGCCGTTTCCCCAGGGCTGCCCATCCTGCTCCTGGACTTCGAGAGGAGCCCCTGCTGCCCGGCTCTCCTGCAGCTCCTGCAGAAGGAGACGCTGCTGGGGGCGGGGGGCTGCACCCTGCACTCCGAATCGCTCGGGGAGGTGCAGGTGCTGCCCTCGTTCCGGCTCTACCTGAGCACCACCCTGCCGCTCCGTGCCTTGGGGAAAGGTAAGGGACCGAGCGCTGGGGCTTCCATAAGTAGGGGCATTGCCAGCAGATCGAGGGACGTGATCATTCCCCTCTATTCGACATTGGTGAGGCCTCATCTGGAATACTGTGTCCAGTTTTGGGCCCCACACTACAAGAAGGATGTGGAAAAATTTGAAAGAGTCCAGCGGAGGGCAACAAAAATGATTAGGGGTCTGGAGCACATGACTTATGAGGAGAGGCTGAGGAAACTGGGATTGTTTAGCCTGCAGAAGAGAAGAGTGAGGGGGGATTTGATAGCTGCTTTCAATTATCTGAAGGGGGGTTCCAAAGCGGATGGATCTAGACTGTTCTCAGTGGTGGCAGATGACAGAACAAGGAGTAATGGTCTCAAGTTGCAGTGCAGGAGGTTTAGGTTGGATATTAGGAAACACTTGTTCTTCTTCGAGTGCTTGCTCATATCCATTCCATTAGGTGTGTGCGCGCCGCGTGCACGATCGTCGGA